GATGCCCTTAAGATCTTTTTCTTGCCTAATCGCTATTGCAAGTACTTCCAGTATTATATTGAACAGTAGTGGAGAGAGTGGGCATCCTTGTCTTGTCCCTGACCTTAGGGGGAAGGCTCTCAGTTTTTCCCCATTGAGGATGATGTTTGCTGTAGGTTTGTGGTAGATGGCTTTAAACTAGATTGAGGAAAGTCCCCTCTATTCCCATTTTGGCAAGGGTTTTCATCATGAATGGGTGCTGGATCTTGTCAAATGCTTTCTCTGCATCTATTGATATGATCATATGATTTTTATCTTTTCTTTCGTTGATATGATGGATTATGTTGATTGATTTCTGAATGTTGAACCATCCTTGCATCCCTGAGATGAATCCCACTTGGTCATGATGTATGATCTTTTTGATGAGTTGTTGAATTCTATTGGCTAGTATTTTGTTGAGAATCTTTGCATCTGTGTTCATCAGGGATATCGGCCTGTAGTTTTCTTTTCTTGTGGTGTCTTTATTTCCTTTTGGTATTAGAGAGATATGGGCTTCATAGAAACTGTTTGGGAGAGTTTCTGTTTTTTCAATTTCCTGGAAAAGCTTGAGAAGAACTGGCAATAGGTCCTCTTTAAGTGTTTGGAAAAATTCGCTAGTAAATCCATCTGGACCTGGGCTTTTGTTTTTGGGAAGACTTTTGATTACAGTTTCAATTTCCTTGATGTGAATAGGTCTATTCAGGTACTCTATATCTTCTTGATTCAGCTTTGGGAGATGATAGGAATCCAGGAATTTATCCATTTCTTCTAGGTTCTCTTGTTTTGTGGCATACAGACTTTCAAAGTAGTCTCTGGATCATCTGATATTTTCTGATGGTTATTTCTAGAAGGCGTCCTGTAATGAGAGCAAATACCAGAAGGCCTAGTCTAAGCATGGTCGGAGACAGACTGACACCAAACCCCAACCAGTCAGCTTAGAATTCTCCAGCATGTGGTTGCTTTATTCTTCTCTTTGGGTGCAGATGTATTTCATCTCTCATATCCCTCACACGTTCATAAAATGACTCATAAGCTAATAAAAATGCTATCTCATGTCGGAGTGACTGGCTGAAATCAATCTCTCATGATTTGAAACATCAGCTTTGGGTCCTGAGTTTGGGCCTAGTTTACTTGATATCTGTTAGGCCATGCCTATTGCCACAGGTGAGACTGTCTCCAAATCCCAAAGATAAACACATTCAGTAATATTCAGGTAGAATTTCTTCAAAGGCAGTTGGGAGTGGTGGGGGGGGGGGGTGGGTAGAGAAATAGTACATCGAGGAGAGAGTTTGCAGGGCATCTCCTTTGTTTTGCCAAACCTGCATTAAATCCCCTGCATTCCCTGTGTCTCCCGAACACTACCACTAGGGGTGATTTCTGAGTGGAGAGCTAGGAGTAACCCCTGAGTATTGCCGGGTGTGACCCAAACACCTCCTCATTCCCCAAAATATCTGAGAATTTCATAAGGGGAGAGGGTTCCAAGCCTGTTCCCAGCCCCGGTTTTTATAACTGGCACCAGAAGACCTCCTGAGCATTATTAATCACAGAGAATTATTGGTCATGGCTCCTGGTGTCCCCCAAGAAGTCTCTGGGTAGTTCCGGGGATTCCTAGGCATCATGGAGTGATCCTAGTGGTCTCTGACTGATTTCACTCAGCTCAATACAATATAATACAAAAGTGATCATCCATGTCAAGAGAGGGTTTCGGCAGGGTGATACCATTTCATCGAAATACTTCAGTGCCACCCTCGAGAACATCATGCAATGACTGGAATGGGAAGGAATGGGAGTGAAGATAGATGGTCGGCAACTAGACCACCTCCGCTTTGCTGCTGACATCATTCTAATAACAGCAAACATTAGCCAAGCGACACAAATGCTGACCAACTCCGACCATGAGTGTGGAAAGGTCGAACTACAGCTGAATCTCACGAAGACAATGTTTCTGAGAAACAGTCTTGTTCTTGATGTTCCATTTGCTCTCAATGGAAAGAACATCTCCGAATGCAACAGTTATGTGTACCTAGGTCGAGAAGTCAACATGATGAATGATCTGGCACCTGAGTTGCGCAGGAGGAAGAGAGTGTCTTAGAAGGCCTTCAAGAGTGTTGAAGAAATAGCTAAGAGGACGAAGAACCTCTGATCCTGGCACATCTCTTCGATTCCACTGTTCTTCCTGCATTAACATATGCCTCTGAGACCTGGGCCCTACAAAAACAGGATGAGAACACTGTACGGGTCTCCCAAAGAGGAATCGAAAGAGCTACGCTTTCAGCATCATGCTTTACTCAAATGAGAGAAAGAATCTGGAGTTCCGACCTCCATCGACGATCAAGAATCAGGGACGCTGTCTCCTTTGCCAAGGTGTCGAAAATCAGATGGACTGGACATATAATGAGATTTGGAGATGACCGCTGGACTAGAGCCATTACCGACTGCACTCCACGGGACGTCAAAAGATCGCGTGGCTGCCCACCTACGACATGGTCCGACTTCTTCGTCAAGATCCTGAACGATCAGTTTGAGTCTCTTTGTGTTTCTAGAACAAGCAAACAGCATTGGGCTACAGTAGCACGCAACAGCGGCGAATGGAGACATTACTGGCACCCTCTCAAGCAAATCGATGAGTAACAAGATGTCAAGTGATCAAGTGAAGTGAAGTGATCAATACAACAAACATAGAAACCAGCTCTACTGCAGCAAGGAGTATGACTCCATCTTTTCCATATTTGTTTTTAAAATAGTTTTTGGCCCACTCCTGCAAATCTCAGGTCTGATTCCTTACTCTGCACCCAGGAAGATTACTCCAAGTGGTTCCCAAGAGACCATATGGGTTGCTTGGAATCGAACCTAGATAGATGACATGCAAGGAAAGTGTGCTCCCTGCTGTCCTATCACTCTCTGTCCCCCTGATTTCATCTTTTCTTAAAGCTGACTAGTATTCTGCTATATATATATATATATATATATATATATATATATACAGTAGGTTCTTTATCCACTCATCCATTCTTAGGAAAAAATGTTATATTATTACATTTATTTTTTTAAATCTAGAATTAGTCGGGGATGTAAGAGATGTGTACATGAATCCAAGGCATGGAAATTGGAGTGGAGTGTTCGCAGGTGAGGGTAGTGGAGGGTGTGCACCTGGTCTAATGTGGGGCCAGGGATCAGCCATCATTAATTCTGTGAATCTGCAGTTTTGGTCTTTCAGCTCTAACGCATGGATCAGACCTCATTAACATACCTTCTTAATGAGGTCCTGTGGACACTGATTCCCTAGGAACGCAGAGGGTGGAGGGTGTTCACCTGCCAGAGGCTTCCTTCATAGCTCTTTCCTCTTGAGAAGAAGCACACCTCACAGTCCACTCAATGATGAGCTACCTGGCCGAGATCCCTTGGCCTCACTGTGTCCCTGCCTTTGCTGAGGACGCACCTGTCCTGTGTATCCTGGTGTCTGATCCAGCATCCCTCCCCAGTAATGTCAACCAGGTAGATGAAATTTCCAAGTCTCCAATGGAGACGTTACTGGGCCCGCTCGAGCAAATGAATTTCTAACACTTTAGTGATGTCTTACTTCTTTTCCAGCCATGCCATCTTACTCCCTGACTTGGGTATCTTGCTCCCATCATATTATTTCATCTTACTGCTGACCCGGGTTTCTTACTTCTTGACTTGAGTATTTTACTCCCATCCATTCCATCTTAGTCTCTGACTTGGGTATATTACTCCCATTCCTTCCATGCCATCTTACTCCATTACTCCAGTGTCTTGTTCCCGTTCCATGCATTCCATATTACCCCTTACTCAGGTATTTTACTTCCTTTCCACCCCAGGAAAGCCAGAAGGAGATGATGGATATAAAAGGGTGGTAGGGATTTTGGACCAACTGTCATCGTTTTACAAAGATGATCTGTAACTGGTTCTCAGTCTCTGCTGACCAAATGTCTTAGGATATGGCAGAACCTACTTCCTTCTGGCTTCCCTTTCTCCACAGGGCAACTTTGAGCAAACATTTTGAGTCTGACTTCTTTTGTGGTTTGGGGGAAGGGCTTGTTTTCATTTTTCCCTTTTATTGCTGCTCCTGGTTCTTGATATAGCAATGTGTGTTCTTGTGTTGGTTTCTGAGAGAGAGAGAGAAAGAGAGAGAGAGAGAGAAGAAGGGTGAGAGAGAATGAAAGCAAGTTGACTTCCGAGTTCTTTATTATATTCCAGATTTTTCCTAGTAGAATAAAAGGTGTCGAAAAATATATTTAAAAGTTAACACCTAAAAATAAATAAAACCTCATGCCTTCCTTTTGATATATTCCAACATCAACAAAGGTTGGCATGTTGATATATCAACTCAAACTTTTTTTTCTCAAAAAAATGTACAAAGCAAAACTAAGAGAAGGAAATGGATTTTATTCCCTGAATTTTCTGTTCTTTTCTTCTCGAAGACAAAACTCCCTTGAACTTACTATTATCTCGCAAGATTGCTTTAAGTAGCCTGTGTAGCCATAAAGATATAGAAGATCTTTTAATTCTACCTTTAATATATATCATGGAATGGAGAGGGAAACTAAGATGCAATGATATCATGCACAACTCTGTAAATAAAGATGAATGAATCAGCACCAAGTATACATACATTAATTGTTAAATCACAAAAACAAAATCATTCCAATTGTAAAAGGTTTTGCTAATTCAGTATCCGAGCATTAAGATCGAGTACTTGTAAAAACAATATGATAACCACCTATGGTATAAAATAATAGATGTTAGTATCAAAAAGAGGGCTTACAAATGAAATGGTTATGGTTCAAACTATTATGTAAACTCTGACTACAATTTTAGTTATTATAAAAACCATGTGATTAAACATAACTTTGAACTATATATTTCATAGCTTGCCATTCGTCTTCCAAATTAGTTAGTGACTTTATTTTGGAATAGGACCAAAGAAAGAAATCAATTATCACTGGAGTTATAATTCATGTTTATTCTGAAAACTGTTTTATTGAAAAGGCAATGTACATGACTAATTTACTGATTCTACCAATGTCGGTAAAGTTTTGTGTCTTTTTAAAAAAATTTCACTTAAACCTAATACCTAATGAAATTGATGTAAATGAACTAAAAAAACTCAAAGGTTTTGCTTATGGGTTCATTTGTATTAAGCTTTCAACATGCAAAAATTTTACTTTTTTAATGCAGCAGTGTTATGATATTGAGGAACAACATTCATATTTTTTGAGCTAGCACATTGATTCTCTTGGGAAGTAAATCACTTTGACTGTGTAAACATCAGAGAGAAGAAATTTATAAACACCAGATTATTTGCCATATTTGCCATAATAAAAATATCTATGATGGGGGCTGGAGCGATAGCACAGCAGGTAGGGCGTTTGCTTTGCATGCGGCTGACCCGGGTTCAATTCCCAGCATCCCATATGGTCCCCTGAGCACCACCAGGAGTGATTCCTGAGTGAAGAGCCAGGAGTAACCCCTGTGTATCTCTGGGTGTGACCCAAAAAGCAAAAAAAATCTATGATGATCTCTTGATCACTTGCTATCCCGTTACTCATTGATTTGTTCGAGTGGGTGCCAGTAACATCTCCATTTGTCCCTGTTGTGTGCTATTTTAGCCCAATGGCGTCTACTTGCTCCACGAACATGAAGAGCCTTAAGTCATTTGTTCAGGGTCTTGACAAAGAAGTCTATCTCGTAGGTGGGCGGCCACAAGTTCTTTTGCCATCATGTGGAATTCAGTCAGTAACAGCTCTAGTCCAGTGGCCATCTTCAAATCGCATTACATGTTCAGCCCATCTGATTTTTGATGCCTTGGCAAATGAGAAAGTGTCCCTGATTTTCGATTGTCAATGGAGGTCGGAACTCCAGATTCCTTCTCTCACTTGAGTGAAGCATGATACTCCAAGCATAGCTCTTTCGATTCCTCTTTGGGTGACCCGAATAGCATTCTCATCCTGTTTTCATAGGGCCCAGGACTCTGAGGCATATGTTAGTGCAGGGAGAACGGTGGAGTCAAGGAGATATGCCTGCAGTTGGAGGTTCTTCATCCTCTTAGCTATTTCTTCGACTCTCCTGAAGGCATTCCATGCTGCTCTCTTCCTCCTGCTCAGCTCAGGTGTCAAGTCATTCGTCATGTTGACTTCTTGACCTAGGTACACATAACTGCTGTATTCGAAGATGCCTGGGCAGGGCAAAGCCAGAGGAAACTCTGGTGAAGGTCTGTAGCAGTCCTGATGTGCAAATCTATGATGAAAGAAGTAGAATTTCTGGATTTTTTTAATGTCATCAGGGGAATTACTAAATTCTTTATTGTCACCCTGTACTTTTATGTCACTGAGTAATGAATAATAAAAATCCCCAAATTAGAATTTACTTTGAAGAACTAGACAGTTCCTGATCAAGCACCACTGACAATTTCCTGAGTGACAGCAGAAGTGCCAAGCATATATAGCACCTGTAAAATTTTGACAAGGTCTTCAGATAGTTTGGAGTTCATGGCAAATTTGGGAAATGCTCTACAAAAGGGATTGAACAAAATGCTTCATTTTCTTTGATGTGAGATGGAAATTATATCTCAGCAAACTGTACTGTTTTCGATTCCTATGGTCTTAGCACATGGCATTAGGATTAGAACCAAGAGGTGATAAATAAGTACCTGAGCCAATTAAAAGAATTGAGGACCAGGAGTCATGTGATGTTATAGGAGAGGTAAAAGATCAAGGGCTGATGCTACAGTCCCGTGGGGAGAGCTTTTGCCTTGCATGCGGCTGATGCAGTTTTATTTCCCAACAAACTACAGGATCCCCCTCATAATCTCAAGGAGTGATCCCTGAGTGCAGAGCCAGGGTACCACTTGGTGTAGTCTACACTCAGAAAAAAAATCAGAAAAATTTGAACCTTCACATATGAACTGAGTCACTAATGATACAGTGAAATCCTTTTTATTGAGACCCTAGATTTAAGGCAGATACATCAAATTCTATAAAATTCTCACCGGAGGGAGGTTCGAATATACTAAATCAGAGTGCATGGTTAGAACTCTGCAGAATGCCTGGTGCATACATTCTAACAAGGTACCTGGGCTCTAATGCTAAGGAGATTCTAATTTCCCCTCCCTCTCCCTGACTCAGATTCACCAGCAGCCTTGCACCTGGAAACCTCACAGAAGCTCCCATCTTCCTCCTACTAGGACTAACAGATGATCCGGAGCTGCAGCCCATCCTCTTCTGGCTCTTCCTGACCATGTACATTGTCACCATCCTGGGCAATCTGCTCATTGTCCTGGCCGTGGTCTCGGACCCCCACCTGCACACCCCCATGTACTTCTTCCTCTCCCACCTCTCCTTCACCGACATCTGCATCAGCACCTGCACCATCCCCAAGATGCTGGGGAACATCCGCACCCAGACACAGAGCATCACTTATGTTGGCTGCATGGTCCAGACTTTCTTTGTCATGGTTTTAACTACTTTGGAAAACTATATCCTGGCCTCCATGGCTTACGACCGCTATGTGGCCATCTGCCACCCACTGAGGTACACGGTCATCATGAACCAGCTTCTCTGCGCGCTGCTCATTGTGCTCTCACTGTTGACAAACGTTTCAGTCTCTGGGCTACACGCGCTGATGGCGCTGCGACTCTGCTTCCCTTCGAAAGTGCTCGTCCCCCATTTCTTCTGCGAATTTGCCCAGCTGCTCAAACTCTCCAGCTCCGACACCTTCATCAATAACCTGCTGATCTACCTGGTGGCTGCCATATTTGGAGGCATTCCCGTTTCGGGCATCGTTTTCTCCTATACTCAGATTATCTCCTCGGTTCTGAGGATGCCCTCGGCCCAGGGGAAGCAGAAAGCCTTTTCCACCTGTGGTTCTCACTTGTCTGTGGTTTCCTTGTTCTATGGGACAGCGTTTGGGGTTTACATTACTTCTCCACTTGTGGAATCTTCCAGAGCATCTGCTATCCCCTCAGTGATGTACATTGTGGTGCCACAGCTGATGAACCCCTTTATCTACAGCCTGAGGAACAAGGACATGATGGGGGCCGTGAGGAGGCTCCTGAGTGGAAAACGGTCTATTCTCTGAGGGTGACGCCTGCTCCGGCCTGAGTTCCCACACTGAAGTAAAACAGTAGGAGCCTTAAGACCCACCAAGTTTTCTTTTTTGTTTATTTATTTAGCCTTAGGGTCTGTACCTGATGAGGCTCAGGGGTTACTCCTGGCTCTGTGCTCAGGAATTATTTATGGCAGGGCTCTAGGGACCATGTAGGATGCTGGGGATCGATCTCGGGTGCAAGAGAAGTTCCGAAAGCTCTACTTTAGCCCCAGCCCCATTGGCTTCTACTCTAGACAACTGAGGAGCAAATTTTCCATGGACTATCTGGTATAATGACTCTCATTAGCATGCATCCAAGTCCTAATTCACCTGAGCTCTTGGATATTCTCTGAAAGTAGGATGAATTGTTTTGCTAAGAATCAATCCTTTCAGCCGCACACGCGAGAGGAAAAGGCAGCTCATATAGAGAAGGGAGCGCCAAATAAAGGGTGTTGGGAGGTTCCTCTCAGGATGGGAAATGCGTGATGAGAGTAGACTATAGACCGAACAAGATTGCCACTCAATGTCTCTTTTGCAAACCACAGCACTCAAAAGGAGATAGATAACAAAAGGGAATGCCCTGCCACAGAGGTAGGGTGGGATGGGCAGATGGGGGATGGGAGGGATACTGGGACTGGTGGTGGTGGAGAATGGGCACTGATGGAGGGATGGGTATTCGATCATTGTATAACTGAAACCCAAGCACAAAAAATTGTAAGTCTACAACTGTACCTCATGGTCTTTCACTAATAAAAATTTAAGAAAAAAAAAAAGAATCAGTAGTCCTTTCAGGTGGTGGTCTTTTGCAGATGATCAGGGTGGGTCCCCAATTGTCCTCTCTGGTTTCCTCTTTCCAGGGCCCCCCATTCTACCACAGATATACCAACAGCTTGTGTGCCTGTAGTGAGAGCTCGTACCCTCGTCATCCCATAATTCAGATGAGGACACACTAACAATTCTATGCTTTCTCTTACGCGGGTTCATTTTCACCCCGGAAATCTTCAAATACTTTATTTTACTTTTTCGTTCTTGGGGTAACACCGTGCCTGCTTAGAGCTTGCTCCTGGCAGACTTGGGGACTATATGGGATTCCCGGGGTCAAAGCTGTGTGATGTGCAAGGCAAGAGCCCTCCTACTGTGCTTTCTTGCTGGTCTCATCCATAACCTCAATATTGTAACCATAGCACAGGGTTTGTTATCATTCAGTACTACCAATCCCCTTGCGTTTCCACAATAGCGTTTTAGAAAATGGCTAATCAACATGTCAATCAATATTTCATATTCACATTAAATTGGTAAAACATCAATGAGTTGAAATCTTCTGTGTGTCTGACTGATTCCTCTCTGTGCCCCCAGCTGTCCTGTCCTGTGCCAGTGACACACCAGAGTTTGCCTAGAATGGATAAAGGGGCTGATTTGATGTCCCCAGTGAGTAATTGCCTGGATTGTGCTCTTGGTCTGTTATGTTTTAGGACCCTCTACCCCCTGGATCCTTACTCAGGTCTTAGATCATGTGATGAAATGATCGCCGTGGTTTGAGAAGGTGCTGAGGTATTGAACTTCATTAGTGAGTATCATCAATAGTCTCATATGTTCAAACATAGGACTTCGTGTGTGTTCTAAGGGCGTCAGAGGTTGGTAAATCCTAGTAACAGGGAAAGAGAAACTCTTTCACACTGCAAGAGCTGATTTGCCATCACTAATTCTGTTGGAGGGGGGGTTCTCAGGGAGCTCCTCAGAGGGAGTGCCAGCATAAATGTCAAACACCAAGCCCAGAGACAGTGGCAGAATGCCTTTCCTGCAATCGATGACAATAGAATCCTCAGGGAGCCAACTGGAGCCTGTCTGTGTCCTGGAGTTCAGAGCAGACTGCAAAGGGATGTGTCCACATTCTCTTTCCCCTGATCTTAGCATTACATAATACATAACTCATGTTTCTCACAACTTACTGCCCAGAGACATGCATTGAGATGCTCAAATAATGATCGCAAATAAATACGTCCATAGCCCAGTGACAAGGTTCAAAAGCAGTTTTCATATTCCCCCCTCCCCTATGAGCCCTTTTTTCCAGAATTGTTGATTGAAGTAAACACATGGGAGAGCTTTTTGCTACCTCTGGAAGCACTTTCTATGCCCTTCCATGTGTTTTGATTCACCAGTAAAGAACACTGAGCACACGACTCTAGCTTCCACGCCCCACCCAGAGAGAAGCAGAACTTCAAGACTGCCAGATCTCTCTCCCCCTGGCCTCTTTGTACTGCCCTTGTACCCTCTCCCGTGATGAAATCCTCAGCCCAGTTGCCTTTTCTGGGGCAAGGGGGTGTTTGGGTCAGACCTCGTAATACTTGGGTTATTCCTGACTCTGAACTCAAAAATTACTCCTGATGGCAGTGCTCGGGAGGCACAGGGGTTGCAGGGAATCGAATTCAAAGCAAGGGGAAGATGCCCTGCAAACTTCCTACTCGCTATGCTATACCTCTGGCCCCCATTGCCTTTTAAGAAATTCTACCGAATATTACTGCACGTGTGTGTCTTTGGGATTAGGAAGATGGTCTCACCTGTGGCAATAGGCATGATCTAGCAGATAACATGCAAACCAGACCCAAATTCAGAACCCTAAGCTGATGTTTCAAATCTCCAGGTAGAATGGGTATTCATCTAATGAGACGTTGATTTCTGCCAATCACTTCAACATGAGAGTAGTGTTTTTATTAAGTTATGAGTCATTTTCTGAACATGAGGAAGGGTAAAAGTAAAGTAAAGTAAAGGCCCTTCCCTTGATCATCGATTTGCTCGAGCGGGCCCAGTAACGTCTCCGTTGGAGACTTTGTTGTTACTGTGTCTGGCATATCGAATACGTCACAGGGAGCTTGCCAGGCTCTGCCCTGCGGGCGAGATACTCTCAGTAGCTTGCCGGGCTCTCCGAGACCGGCAGAGGAATCAAACTCGGGTCGGCCATGTTGGCTGCGTGCAAGACAAACGCCCTACCGCTGAGAGATGAAATTCAGGGTATCCAAACAGTAGAATAAAGCAACCAAATGCTGGAGAATTCTTTTATTTATTTATTTATTTATTTATTTTAAATAGTGAAACATCATGAGGTACTGTAGTAGACTTACAAACTTTCATATTTGGGTTTCAGTTATACAATGATCGAGTGCCCATCCCTCCACCAGTGCCCATTCTCCACCACCAATGTTTAAAGTAGCCCCCCCCCTCCATCCCACCCCGGCTCGGTGGCAAGGCATTCCCTTTTGCTCTCTCTTTCCTTTAGGGTGTTGTGGAGTGGCCATCGTGTTCGGTCTACAGTCTACTTTCAGCACACATCTCACATCCTGAGCGAATCTTCCAAACACCCTTTACTTGGTGTTCCCTTCTCTATCTGAGCTGCCTTTCCCTCCAGCATGTGCTGCCAGCATCCAAGCTGTGCAGCAGACCTCCTGGTACTAATCTCAACTATTCTTGGGTTTTGTCTCCCATTCTGTTACTTTATATTCCCCAGATGAGTGCAGTCTTTCTGTCTGTTCCTCTCTTTCTGGCTCATTTCACTTAGAATGATACTTTCCATGTAGAACCACTTGTATGTAAATTTCATGACTTCATCTTTTCTAACAGCTGAATAATGCTGGAGAATTCTAGGCTGAAAGGTTGGGTTTGATGTCGATCTCTCTCCAACCGTGCTCAGACTAGACCTTCTGGTGTTTGCTCTCATTACAGGATGCCTTCTAGAAATAACCATTAGAAAATATCAGATGATCAAGGCCTGTTTTTTTCCAGCGCCTTGGAAATTTTGCACAGCAAACCCAGGGCACAGACAGGCTCCAGTTGGCTCCCTGAGGATTCTATTGTCATCGATTGCAGGAAAGGCATTCGGCCACTGTCTCCGGGCTTGATGTTTGACATTTATGCTGGCATCCCCTCTGAGGAACTCCCTGAGAATCCTCCCTCCAACAGAATTAGTGATGGCAAATCAGCTCATGCAGTGTGAAAGAGTTTCTCTTTCCCTGTTACTAGGATTTACCGACCTCTGACACCCTTAGAACACACATGATGTCCTATGTTTGAGCATATGAGACTATTGATGATACTCACTAATGAAGTTCAATATCTAAGCACCTTCTCAAACCACGGTGATCATTTCTTCACATGATCTATGACCTGAGTAATGATCCAGGGGGTGGAGGGTGGAGGGTCCTAAAACATAACAGACCGAGAGTACAATCCAGGCAATTACTCACTGGGGACATCAAATCAGCCCCTTTATCCATTCTAGGCAAACTCTGGTGTGTCACTGGCACAGGACAGGACAGTTGGGGGCACAGGGAGGAATCAGTCAGACACAAAGAAGATTTCAGCTCATTGATGTTTTACCAATTTAATGTGAGTTCAGAGACTCTCCAAGAGTTCAGGTGAATTAGGAGGTGGATGCAGCTAACAAGAGTCATTATGCCAGATGTTCAATGGAAATTTGCTCCTTGTTTGTCTAGACTAGAAGCCAATGGGGCCAGGGCTATAGTAGAGCTGTAGGGACTTCTCTTGCACCCAGATTCGATCCCCAGCATCCTGCATGGTCCCCCCAAGCACTGCCAGAAATAATTCCTGAGCACAGAGCCAGGAGTAACCCCTGAACCTCTTCAGGTGCAGACCCTAAACCTAAATAAATCAAAAAAATTAAACTAGGTGCTACTGTTTTACGTCATTGTGGGAAATCAAGCCCAGAGCAGGCGTCACCCTCAGAGAATAGGCCTTTTCCCGCTCAGGAGCCCCCTCACGGCCCCTTTCATGTCCTTGTTCCTCAGGCTGTAGATAAAGGGGTTCATCAGCTGCGGCACCACAAGGTACATCACCGAGGGGATGGAAGATATTCTGGAAGTTTCCACGACTGTAGAATTAATGTAAATCCCCAACGTTGTCCCATAGAACAAGAGAACCACAGACAAGTGAGAACCACAGGTGGAAAAAGCTTTCTGCTTCCCCTGGGCTGAGGGCATTCTCAGAACCGAGGAGAAGATCTGAGTGTAGGAGAAAATGATGCCCGAGAATGGAATCCCAGCAAAAGTGGCAGCCACCAGGTAGATCATCAGGGTATTGATGAAAGTGTCAGAGCACGTGAGTTTGAGCAGCTGGGCGAGTTCGCAGAAAAAGTGGGAGATGAGCACTTTAGAAGGGTAGGAGAGTCGCAGCACCATCAGCGTGTGAATTAGGGAGACTGCAACACTTCCCAAGAGTGAGAGGGCAATGAGCAGCATGCAGAGAGACTGATTCATGATGACCGTGTACCTCAGCGGGTGGCAGATGGCCACGTAGCGGTCATAAGCCATGACGCCCAGGAGACAGTTTTCTAAACTCGTAAAAACTATGACAAAGAAGGTCTGGGCCAGGCAGCACGCGTAGGTGATGCTCTGTGTCTGTGTTTGGATATTCACCAGCATCTTGGGGATGGTGCAGGAGCTGATGCAGATGTCAGTGATGGAGAGGTGGGAGAGAAAGAAGTACATGGGGGTGTGCAGGTGGGGGTCTGAGACCACGGCCAGGACAATGAGCAGATTGCCCAGGATGGTGACAATGTACATGGTCAGGAAGAGCCAGAAGAGGACGGGCTGCAGATCCGGGTCATCTGTCAATCCTAGTAGCAGGAAGATGGGAGCTTCTGTGAGGTTTCCGGGTGCAAGGCTGCTGATGAATCTGATGGAAGAGTCAGAGGAAAGGGAGGGGGGGAATGAGCATCTCCTTGGCATTCGAGACCATGGTACCTTGTTAGAAAAGTATGCGCCAGGCATTCTGCAGAGTTCCCACTGTGCACTCTGATTAAAATGCAGAAATGTTCAAACCTCCTTCCAGTAAGAATTTGATGGACTCTGCCTGAGATCCAGGGTCTCAATGAAAAGGATCTAATCGTGTAATTAGTGACTTTATATAAAGACTCAAGACTGTTCTGATATTTTATTTTCCTCTGTGGGATGGGAGGGCATATCCATGATGCTCTGGGTTTATTCCTGCCTCTGTATTCCCGGTGAGACTTGGAAGGGCGTTGGGAGGGGACCCTATGGATGATGGGGATTGAACCGAACCAGAGTCAGCCACATACAAGGCAATCCCCACAGGAATATCGCTCCAGCTCCTGATCCTTTACCTCTATTATCATATCACATGACTCCTGTGAGTTCACAGAGTATTGTGGGTGCTGTGAAGCCCTTAGGTGGCTGAGAGCTGTCTCCAGTCCTCCCCAGCAGAGAAGGAGAGAGACAGGGACCACAGACTGATGGTGAAAATGGGCTGTTTAATGCAGAGCTGTTAACAGGCTTATAGAACATCTGAGGGGGTTGAGGTACCTAGGTGTGTTTGAGCATTGACACCTGGAAATTTACATAGATGATTTATGTGGGAAGACATTAGCATAGAAAATTCTCTTGGGGAGATTAATGCAAGGAAACACTCTGTCTCCTGAGGACATCTACATTGCTTTGATCTTTCCCTCTAGTTGTATATGTTATCAATACTTGCAGTTGTTTGATTCAACACAGTAAGAGACAAAGATCCCAACACTTAGTTCTCTGGGCTTTGAAGGCAAGGAAAGCTTTACCGTAAATCTCACACTAAGTCCTCAGGCCAGTTCTGCTTGCCCTTCCCCATGGGGGTCCTGTCTCTAAAGTCATAATAGCGTCCATCAAGACCATGCATTTATGCTTCCTAGAGTTTTCCACTTGCCCCGTGTCCATCCCAGTCCCATTGAGGGACTTCCCTTTTGGAATGTTAGGAACTACAGCAATTGAAGGCAGAGTCAAGTAACTATGACCGATGCCTAGGAGTAGATATATTTCAGAGTCAATCAACTCCCTAATAATAGAAGCATAGCATTAATTAATAAACAACGTGTTTAAGCAAAGAACATTGCCCTCTAGCAAAATATAAAAAGGCTATAGAGGAAATAGAAAAGCAGGTACAAATGCACAGCACTTCAAGTACAAAACAGTACAAATACTATAAGTATCACTATCACTATCACCCCATTGTTCATCGATTCACTCTAGCGGGCCCAGTAATGTCTCCATTCATCCCTGTCACATGCTAGTGAGCCCGATGACATGTTGGAAGCTAATTGGGGAATGAGGACCAATCATTGTTACTGTTTTTGGCATATCAAGTATGCCACGGGTAGCTTGCCAGGCTCTGTCGTGCGGGTGGGATACTCTCGGTAGCTTGCCAGGCTCTCTGAGAGGGATGGAGGCTTTGGGGGCAGCCTCTAATCACATTTACAGGTGTTTCTAGTCAGGCATATATGCGGGTATGATACTCTCAGTAGCCTGCCGGGTTCTTTGAGAGCGAGAACTAGAGAATAAGAGGCATTAGCGGCAGCGTGATTCCAGGAGCTTGGTTTGATAGTCTCTGGATTCTGGCCGTTGATGGGGGTATACGGCAGTTAGTGGGTGTAACTATCTAGCTACAGGAAGATGGGGGAGCTGGAGGAGACCTGGTGCCGAACCAAGCAGGCTTGAAGATCTTAGCCCCGGGTCCCGCACACCTGTGTTCCTCTGCCGGTTCCTTCATGTGTGAGGCTCGTCCAAGTGTGTGGAGAGTAGTCTCAGCATGGCTTTGGCTGGGTCCCGGAGGTCTTCAGCTGTCAGGGCTTTACTCGGGGCAGAGAGGGAAACTCAACCTGCCCTCCTCCATGGGGCCCTGGTGAAGACAGCCAGGCGGTGGGGGCAAAAGACATTTGTACAAATACAAAGTTCAAAATTGCCAGAAAGTTTTGGCTTATAAGTAATCAAGACTGACTTGGGGAACTGTGAGAATGAGAGGTAAAATACAAAGGAAAGGTTAAAGATAAACTTTAACTAAATTAGGGATGCTAGCAAGAGCTTCTCTGGGAGGAGGAAAAGAGGCAATTCACTGATGAAGCCTAAAACACTAGGGTTAATATACAACAATCCCTGGTTCCCAACTCTTTCTGTTGAGTCAGATGTTTACTTAGCACCTGTTTGGTTTATGGCCAGTGCTATGTGCTACGACCACAGAAATCGAAAACTTACAGTTTACTTAAATATAGTTCATGTTTCAAATAAAAGGAAATGAAGGAATTTGTTCAATCACTCTTGTAGAGCTTGGTTGCCAAATTTGGCATGAACTCAGAACTGTCTGAACACCTTGTTCAAATTTCACAGGTGTTATATCACTGTGGCACTTCTGTTGTTACTCAGGAAACTGAAAGAGACACTTCGTCATGAACTGTCAGTTTCTTCAAAGCAAACTCTAATTGAGATTGTTTATTATTTGTTATTCAAACTACAGAAAAGAACAGGATGCAGATAAAGAGATTAGGATGACGTTATAAAATCCAGACATTTCACCGTTCACATCACAGATATTTTTTATTGCAGCAAATAATCTGTAATTTGTTCCTTTCTTCTCCCTTATGTTTACACAGTCTCACTTCTTTCCTTCCCAGGAGAAGCAGTGTGCTAATTAGAAAAGGTGTGGAATCATCTCCCTCAATATCATAACTCTGCTCCATTCAAAAAGTAAAATTTTTGCATATGGAGAACTTAATACAAACTAACCCATATGCAAAACCTTTTACAACTGGAATGATTTTGTGATTTAGCAATTAATGTTTGTATATTTGGTTTTGATTCATTCATCTTTGTTTACAGAGTTGTGTGCGATAAAATTGTTATAGTTTCCCTCTCCATACCATGATATATATTAAAAATAGAATATTGTCATCTTCTAAATCTTTATGGCTACACATGCTATTTAAAGCAAGCTTGCATCAGGAATGCAGGAAGAGGGGTGAAAATAAAAAAATAATAAAGCAAGCTTGCAAGATAACTGTAGGTTCAAGAGAGTTTGTCTTTGCAAAGGAAAGAACAGAAAATCAAGCAGATAAAATTCAGTTCCTTCTCTGAGTTTTGCTTGTTTTTTTTTTGGACAAAAAAAAGGTTGGAGTTGATATATCAACAAGTCAACATTTGTTGATGTTGGAATATCTCAAAAAGCCAAGAGATTTGTTTTTATTTTTAGGTGTGAATTTTTAAATATATTTTATGTCTTTTTAATTTTTTATTCTATTAGTAAATACTTAGGGCTGGAGTGATAGCACAGAGGGTAGGGCATTTGCCTTGCATGTGGCTAACCCAGTGGACCCGGGTTCAATTCCTTTGCCCCTCTCGGAGACCGCAGCAAGCTACCGAAAGTATCTAGCTTGCACGGCAAAGCCTGGCAAGCTACCCGTGACGTATTGGTATGCCAAACACAGTAACAACAAGTCTCACAATGGAGAAGTTATTGGGCCCGCTCGAGCAAATCAATGAACAACGGGAGGACAGTGGTACAGTGCTACAGGAAATACTTGAAATTGAGTGGGAGTACTGGGAGTAGCAGATAGCTCCTCTCTCTCTCTCTCTCTCTCTCTCTCTCTCTCTCTCTCTCGTCTTTCTTAGAACCCAACACAAGAACACACACTGTTAAATCAAGAACCAGGAACAGCAATAAAAGGGAATGCTGAAAATAAACCTTTCCCCCAAACCACCACAAGAAATCAGAATTAGAATGTTTGCTCGGATTCAACTGGGGGAAAAGGGACGCCAGAAGGAAGCAGGCTCTGCCATATCCTAGGACATTTGATGGCCAGCAGACTGAGAACCATTTAGAGCTAAGTCCTTGTCAACAAGATGACAGATTGTTCAAATCCCTCTGATTCTTTATGCCTGTCATCTCCTTCTAGTTTACCCCAGATGGGATGGAAGTAAGATACCAGAGTAAGGGTGTAAGATGGAATGAATGGAACAGGAGTAAGATACCCAGCAAGGGAGTAAGATGAAATAGATGGAATGGGCTTAAGATATTCTAGCAAGGGAGTAAGATGGCACGCTGGAATGGGGGTGAGATACTCAGGTAAAAGAGTAAGATACCCAGTAAGGGAGTAAGATGGAATGGATGAAACGAAGTAAAATACCTGAGTAAAGGATTAAGATACTCAAATCACAGATTGAGCTGGAATGAATGCAATGGTGGTAAGATATTCAAGGAAGAGTGGAAGATATCTATCTGAGTAAGGGAGTAAATACCTGAGACAGGGAATAAGATGGCAATGTGAAAAGGGAGTAAGAGATCATTACAGTGTTAACAATCTTTTTACCCACTTCTTCAGTGTTGGGGTTTATTAACTTGGAAATTTCATTTACCTGGTTGACATCACTAGGGAGGGATGCTGGATCAGACATCAGGATACACAAGACAGGTGTATCCTCAGCAAAGGCAGAGAAGAATTGAGGCCAAGCTATCCTGGCCAGGTGGCTCATCATTGAGTGGACTGTGAGGTGTGCTTCTTCTCAGGAGGCAAGAGCTATGAAGGAAGCCTCTGTTAGGGGAACGCCCTCCACCCTCCACGTTCCTAGGGAATCAATGTCCACAGGACCTCATTAGGATGGTATGTTAATGAGGTCTGATCCCTGGGTTAGGCCTGAAAGACCAAAACTGCAGATTCACAAAATTAATGATGGTGGATCCCTAGCCCCACGTTAGAGCAGATGGATACCCTCCACTCCCTCACCTGCAAACACTTCAATCTATTTTCTATACCTTGCATTCATGTATACAGATATCTTACCCCCACCACAAATGACATATTTTCTTTTAAAAATTCAGTTTTAGCAATAAAATATATTTTCGATGAATATATGAGTGGATAAAGAACCTTCTGTCTCTGTGCCCAAAGGAATACAGCTTTAAGAAAAGATGAAATAATGGAGCTGGAGAGATGATAGAACACGAGGGAGGGTGCTTGCCTTGTACATGGACAATCTGGATTTGATCCCTGGCACTATAGATTCCCGGAGTACAGGTAGAAGTGATTTCTGAGTGCAGAGCTAGGAGTACCCCTGAGCACTGCCAGTTGTGGGTCAAAGAGTTTTTAGAAAGAAAGAAAGAAAGAAAGAATGAATGAATGAAGAAAAAGTGGAACGAAAGATGTAAATAAAGAAAATAAGAAATAAAGAGAGAAAGAGAAAAAAAGAAAAGATAAAATCACACTCTTTGCTGTAATTGAGATGGTTTCTAATTTTCCTGTACCAAGCTGAAATAAATCAGAGACCCTACGGTCACCCCTATGGATGCCAAGGACTGCTGAAAGTATCCAGGGACTTCTTAAGACACTCCAGGGGACATGGCTTGTGATCCTTAGAAAGTCTTCTAGTTCCAGGGATCAAACCAGAGCTGGGAGCATCCTGGCACCCTCTCCCCTTACCCATTCAATCCCATTGTCCTTTTATTTTCTTTTTTGCTTTTTAGGTCACACCCACAGTGCTCAGTGGTTACTCCTGGCTCTGCACTCAAAAATTACTCCTGACGCGCTTGGAGAACCATGTGGAATGCCAGGATGCCAGGGATCTAATGCAGTTCAGGCATGGCAAGGCAAATACCCTGCAAATGCCCTGCTCACTGTACTATCCCTTCAGACCCCCCACTGCCTTTTAAGAAATTCCACCTGGATAATGCTGCACATGTATGTTTTTGGGATTTGGGAGGTGCTCTCATCTGTGGGCAATAAGCATGATCTATGAGACAACATGCAAACTAGGCCAAACTCAGGACCCTGAACTGATGTTTCAAATCTCAAGGTAGAATGGGTACTCGTTCCCTGACACATTGATTTCTGCCAATGGCTCGACTTGAGAATGGCACTTTTATTAGGTTATGTGTCATTTTCTGAACATGAGGAAGGGTATGAGAGATGAAATACTCAGCACCCAAACCAAGTGCTGGAGAATTCTAAGCTGACTGGTTGGGGTTTTGCGGATCTGTCTTCAGCCGTGCTTAGACTAGACCTTCTGATGTTTGTTCTCATTACAGGAAGCCTTCTAGAAATAACCATTAGAAAACTTGGATGATCAAGGCCTATCCTTTACATGGTCTTGGAAATTTTGCACAGCAAACCCAGGGCAGCACAGGGAGTCCCTAGGGGAAGAGAGAACTCAAAGGCTTGAGGTTCCTTTTCTCTCTGGGTGGAGCACGGGCATCTAGAGTTGTGTGACCCATCACTCTTTACTGGTGAACTAAAAACACAAAAGGGGAGAGCCAAGCTACCAGACCTCGCACCTGGCTGTTTCATTCAGGGTACCACGTAGGAGGGCAGGTGAGGCCCCTCACCGTCCCAAGGGTTCCAGCACGGCAGCCAAAAAGTTCTAGAACTCAACTGCCGCCATGCTCACAGTTGCTCTCCACACGCTAGTCAAGCATCACCCACAAGTGAACTTTCTCTTGGACTGTGAGGCCACATTTGCGACTGCGCAACATGTCATACCTCACACCACTAATGTTCCAAGAGTGGCACACCATATTTAGTGGGGCTTAAAGTAGAAGGCAACCAATCTTAGAGGGAAGCATATTTTTACATATATGTGTATACAAACACACACACATACACACACATATATATGGGCTGGAGCGATAGCACAGCAGTAGGGCATTTGCCTTGCATGAGGTCGATCGGAGTTCAATTCCTCTTCCCCTCTCAGAGAGCCCGGCAAGCTACAGATTGTATCTCGCCCGCATGGCAAAGCCTGGCAAGCTACCCGTGATGTATTCGATATGTCAAAAACAATAACAACAAGTTTCACAATGTTTCTGGGCCCACTCGAGCAAATCAATGAATAATGGGAGAACAGTGCTACAGTATATATATATATATATATATATATATATATATATAGAGAGAGAGAGAGAGAGAGAGAGAAGCATACAAAATTCAATCTTCAACAACATATTAGTAATCTCCTATAGAAGGGCTTCATGGCCCCTGGGTGAAATACAACCATCTTTACACACTTTCCTGTAAGGAAACATTTTTGCATCACTTTCAGCAGTTTATTCATAACAAACCATGCAAAATAATTTTGGTTCTGCCTTGGGTCAGGGCTTGGAGATCGGGTGGAAACATCCCAAATATAGTGCTGGGAAGGTTTTATGGTGGTGAGATTGCTGTTTGAATATGTAATGTAATCAAATATTGTGAACTACTTTATAAAAATGTTTTTTAAAAAACACGAAAGCGCATAAAAGTGCCCCGAGAGGTAGTAAAAAGTCCTCCCACGTAGTAACTTAGACTGATAGTTCTAGAAATAAGGATGCAGGGGGGTGAAGCTATCACAAGGTTTTGAACCTTGTCACTAAGCTATCGATGTATATATTTTTATCTTTATTTGACAGTCTTTGATGTAGGTATCTGGGGAGGGAGTTCTGAGTAACATTAATTTCTGTGTTATAGAAAGTTAACAAGTCAGGGGAAATAGAAAGCAGACACATGGCTTTGCAGTCTGTTGTGAATCTTAGGACTGATACAGGCTCCAGTGGCTCCCTAAGGAATGTTTTTGTCTTTGCATGAAGGGCATCGGGTCACTGTCTCTTGGCTTGGTGTTTGACAGTTACTCTGAGGAACACCCCTCTGAGGAACTCCCTGAGAACCCTCCCTTCAACAAAATTAGTGATGGTGTGTGTAAACACAAAAAGGGGGGCAGCAGCTCTATCTCTCCTGCTGCCCGAGTTCAGTAGTCTCAGGACGCTTCCCCCATCCCAGAGAGGTCAATGGCGATGGGCAGACGAAGGAAGGAAGGAGGGCCAGGCTGGTTTGTGTCAGTTGCAGTTTAATCCATTGCCATCTCTATTCTCCTCTGATTCTCCTCCTGCTTCTTGCTCCCCCATGCTATTTCATTCTCCTTCTCGATTCCCCTTCATTCTCCATCTGGATCCCACAGCCCACTCTGACAGTCTAGTTAAATCCCAATGCATGAGGGACAGATACTCTCTCAGCAGGACGACCAACCCAAGAGCGGTATCCCATGGGTGTGTTTCTCCTCTCCTTGTCCAACAAACATATAAGCATTCATAATATTAATCATTTTGTATGGACACAGTAAGAGATACAGTAAGCTTATAGAATTGCTTTCCTGGGGTCATTTCGATCTCGGACTACAGTGCTCAGGCCAGATTAGTCTTTCCTATTCCTAGCAGAGTTCTAATCTTGTTGTTACTTTTGGATCAGACAGCATCTGTCCATGATCAAGCTCTTAACTTAGAGTTAAGAATCGTGGTGCTTTGGCCTGGCCCATTTCTATGGCAGGTAGCTCACAGCTTGCCCTGGGTCCATTCAGTCCCTCGTTGGGACCCTGCTTTTCGGTTGCTAAGAACTAAGGGCAACTGAAGCTTAAGTCGAGAAAGCAGATGGCCATGAGTGAATAATATTCGAAGCCAATTAAATCCCAGGTTACAAGCGGGTAGGGCGTTTGCCTTGCACGCAGCCAACGTGGCCGACCCAGGTTCGATTCCTCTGCCCCTCTTGGAGAGCCCGGCAAGCTACCGAGAGTATCTTGCCCGCATGGCAAAGCCTGGCAACCTACCCGTGACGTATTCAATATGCCAAACACAGTAACAACAAGTCTCATGATAGAGACGTTACTGGACCTGCTCAAGCAAATAGATGAACAACAGGAGGACCGTGACCGTGACCGTGAATATTAACTGTCTTCTTGTATCTATACAAAAAGCACATTGCTTTAAAATAAACTATTCAAAAGACAGGAGTGGAGAAAGATAATATTTCACTCATACATATAAAATCACAGATTTCTTTAACAAAATCGATAAGCCCCTACAAAACTCACAAAGAAAGGGAGAGAGAAAACCCTAATAAACCGAATCAGAAATGAAAAGGGGGTCATTACAACAGAAACTACAGAAATTCAAAGGATCCTCAGGGAGTACTTTGAAAAGCTTTATGCCACAGAACATCAAAACCTCGAGGAAATGGATAAATTCCTAGACTCCTACAGACTCCCAAGGCTGAACCAAGAAGACCTGGAATACCTGAACAGACCTATCACCATCAAGGAAATTGAAATGGTAATAAAAAGTCTCCCCAAGCACAAAAGCCCTGGCCCGGATGGATTCACCAGTGAATTCTTCCAAATCTTTAAAGAAGACTTACTCCCAATCCTCTTTAAGCTTTTCCATGAAATTGAAATATCAAATACACTTCCGAACAGTTTCTATGAAGCAAATATCACACTGATACCAAAAGCAGACAGAGATAACACAAAGAAAGAGAACTACAGGCCGATATCCCTGATGAACACAGATGCAAAGATCCTCAACAAACTACTAGCAAATAGAATCCAACTACTCATCAAAAAGATCATACACCATGACCAAGTAGGATTCATCCCAGGGATGCAAGGATGGTTCAACATTCGGAAATCAATCAACATAATCCATCATATCAACAAAAGAAAAGATAAAAAGCATATGATCATATCAATAGATGCAGAGAAAGCATTTGACAAGATCCAGCACCCCTTTATGATGAAAACCCTAGCCAAAATGGGCATAGAGGGGGACTTTCCTCAACATAGTTAAAGCCATCTACCACAAGCCTACAGCAAGCATCATCCTCAATGGGGAAAAACTGAGAGCCTTCCCTCTAAGATCAGGGACGAGACAAGGATGCCCACTCTCTCCACTGCTGTTCAATATAGTACTGGAAGTACTTGCAATAGCAATTAGGCAAGAAAAAGACATTAAGGGCATTCAGGTAGGAAAGGAAGAAATAAAGCTCTCACTATTCGCAGATGATATGATACTATACTTAGAGAACCAAATAACCTCCACAAAAAAACTCCTAGAAACAATAGACTTGTATAGTAAAGTTGCAGGTTATAAAATCAATACCCAAAAGTCCATGGCTTTCCTATACGCAAACAGTGAGAGAGAGGAAAGCTATATGAAAAAATCAATCCTGTTCACAATTGTGCCCCAGAAAATCAAGTACCTAGGAATCAGCTTAACTAAGGAAGTAAAGGACCTGTACAAAGAAAACTACAAAACGCTACTTCAGGAAATAAAAGAGGACATGAGGAAATGGAAAGACATCCCCTGCTCATGGGTCGGAAGAATTAACATTGTCAAAATGGCAATACTACCGAAAGCACTGTACAAATTCAATGCAATTCCTATAAGGATACCCATGACATTCTTCAAAGAAATGGAGAAAACACTCCTGAAATTTATATGGAACAATAAACCCCCACGAATAGCTAAATCAATTCTGGGGAAAAAGAAAATGGGAGGAATCAACCTCCCTAACTTCAAACTTTACTACAAAGCGGTAATAATCAAAACAGCATGGTACTGGAACAAAGGCAGAACTGCAGACCAATGGAACAGAGTTGAATACACTGACATCTCCCCCCAATCATATGATCATCTAA